GTGTGTGTCCCCAGGCTGGTTCGGAGACAGACCTTTGCCATGGGGCCAGCGACTGCGCTCTGCCTCCTGCTCCTCGTGCTCGGCGGCTCAGAGACCAAGCGCACCGCAGGTAAGGCCAGCTCTGTGCTGGTCCCGGAGCAGGCAGAGAAGGGGGAACAAAAAATAAAACACTTCTTTGGTGGCTGTTCAAGCAGATGGAGTTGTGCTCGGTGGTGAAGAGCTCCAAAGCTTTCAATGAACAAAACCGTTTCAACCTGAACATCAGGTAGTTGGGAATAGAAAAGTTTCTCTGGTGTGGAATTTGTGTAACCTTCAGAAATAGGAATGCAGAGTCTTCAGGACTTGAGTGTGTAGCATATCCACAGGAAAGGGGGAATATAATGTCTGAAGAAGGAGTGGGGCAGTAGGGTACCATCATGGTGCCATAAAGAAGCTGCTACTGTGCTTGCTGTCATTCAGCTGGATTAAGCAAGCTCACTTTCCTGTGTCCTAGCATAGGAATATTGCAGTCAGGACTTTGCTGTCTACTTCTCCTCTGCTACAGTATAACGAGGTGCCAGAATGGCTGCTACCTTTGTGTGTCAGTCAGCAGGTACCTGGCACTCCTGTGCTGACTGGCTCCTGTACAAGAATGCACATGTTCTGCCATGCTGCAGCTCCTGGTGGGACTGCTGCACCATCAGAGCTACTGTCTGTGGTCTGATGTGAGGTGCTCTGCCATGCACGACATGTACTAGGAGCCAAAATGTTAAGTAATTGTGGAAAATATGCACCTACTCACCCTTTTCTTGTCCTTTTCTCATGATGCTTCTCCTGATCTCTCTCTGCAGAGTCCAGGAATGATGATAACAGTGTCTTCGATCTCTTTGAACTCATTGGCTTCACGCGGAAGGGAGGTGGGCGCCGGGCACCCGGGGTGTACCTGGTGAAGGGACCGGAATCCTCCAGCCCTGCTTACCGCATTGAGGATGCCAGTCGCATCCCTGCTGTCCCTGATTCAAAGTTCCAAGACTTATTAGATGCCATTCATGCTGAGAAGGGCTTCATCCTCCTGGCCACTCTCCGGCAAGCCAAGAAAAGCAGAGGCACTCTCCTATCTGTGGAACAGAAGGATGGCTCTGGTCATGTCTTCAGTCTAGTATCAAATGGCAAGGCAGGCTCCCTGGACCTGAGCCTTTCTGGTGATGGCAAGCAGCAATTAGTGTCAGTAGAGGATGTCTTGCTAGCTACAGGACATTGGAAGAATATCACCCTATTTGTGCAGGAGGACCGAGCTCAGCTCTATGTGGGGTGTGAAAAAATGGAGAATGCTGAACTGGACATCCCCATCCAGAACATCTTCACTAGGGACCTGGCCAGCAGTGCCAGGCTCCGTATTGCCAAAGGGGGAGTCAATGACAACTTCCAGGTAAGACTTTCACCAAGGTTTTTGCCTAGTATTTTCAGTCATCTGCTTTGAAGGTGCATTAGCTACTCAAACAGCCTAAAAAGCTACAAAGACCTCTAAATCTAGTAAACTTTAATAATGGCATTTGAAGGATGAAGTATTAGATTTGTAGGGATGGAACTTTCTGCAGCAATAAGAAGGCACTAAAGCTTCAACACAGGTAGTTGTAGCTTCATTGCTCAGCTTCTTATGTGAGGTTCAGAAATTTGTGGGGGTTTTTTCTTCCTGCCTGGAGAGTCGCCAGGTTCTTGTGATCAAGGATGAGATTGTTAGGAAGCAGGGCTTCTTTTCATTAAAGAGACTAGAAAAACGTGTTTCACTTTTCCATATATCTGTCACAAAATTACTCTTAAAGATCTTACGTGACCTTCAATCTGTCCATGCAAGTGGTACTTCTTTCCCTTGAAGTTGCCGCAAGTAGCTGTAATTCTTCCTCCATCCACAGGGACTGCTGCAGAATGTGCGGTTTGTGTTTGGAACAACTCTGGAAACTATCCTGAGGAACAAAGGCTGCTCCAGCTGTAAGTTTACAATCTTCTGAATTCAATGACCTATTAAAAATAAGATTTCTCATTACATTAGAAAGACAAGTTGAAACAGAACTCAGAAGTATGCTGACATGCAAATCCACATTGCATAAGATATAAGATTATATTTCTGCAGGCACCCTCGTGAATCTGGTGGCAGCTGTTTAGCAGGTGTTAGCCTGGAATGATAAATGCACATGGTAAAAAATGCATTTACTGTCTGGTTTTTCTCTTAGCCACTAGTGCAATCATTACTTTGGACAATCCCATCAATGGTTCCAGCCCAGCTATCCGCACTAATTACATTGGCCATAAAACAAAGGACATCCAAGCAGTCTGTGGATTTTCCTGTGATGAACTAACAAATATGTTTGTGGAACTGCAAGGGCTTCGGTCCATGGTTACAACACTTCAAGACAGAGTTCGCAAAGTGGTGAGTGTTGGCTAAATTCATGGTACCTTTTATTAACTGGCACTTAGTGCATTAATTATAACCTGCCTTTTGAGAGGCTGAATAAACAGTAATAAATTTACTTTGACTTTTGTGAAAAACAATGTTTTCTGTATTAACTTTAAATATCTTCTCTTTGTTTCTTACACTCCCCCCCTCAAGACTGAGGAAAATGAAATCATTGCTAAAGTGGTCCAGATCACTCCTGGAGCATGCATTCATAATGGAATCTTGCACAAAAATAAAGATGAGTGGACTATTGACAGCTGCACTGAATGTACTTGCCAGGTAAGGTTCCTCACATCCATAAATCCTCTGAATAAAAACTCAGGAGGAGGAATTAACAGATATTTCTAAATTATATTCTTTGTTAGAAAGAGTGAATCATACACAGAACTGGGCATACTAGAGCACCCATAAAAGTATTCAGTTTGTTTCATTCTACTAGATCTCTGGTATAAAGGCAACTTTATACCAGCAGTGTTACAACAGCAATATTTTAGAAAACTGTACAAAACATTGCTCTGATATGGTTATTAACACCCTTTTAGTTACTTAATTTGGGGAATGCCTGAATTGTTTACATAAGTTCATAATTAAACTAAAAGTCAGCATCAATACAACAAATGTATAGTACTATTGGCTTTGCTTCCTGGAATACTTTAGATCTATCTTCTGCCCTCACTGAACCTTCTGCTGGCTTAGTAGAATAAGATGTTCTAGTACTCAGTAAAGGCACTTAAACTTGGGGTGTTTATCTAGCAAATGTTTCTAGCTGTTTCCTATTAACTGTTATAGATTATATGGAACAGCAATCCCTTTCAGATTTCAGGTTTACTGTTTAAATCCCAGGATCACCTGGGAAGATATCTATGCTTTGTTTCACTTCTGCGGAATGTTGTAAACATACACAAAACATACAGTTTCAGGGTTTCTTTAAACTATTTGCTTGTTCCATTTAAGTATACCCTAGCAAAAGCTTCTTGGAGTACCAGTCTACCAAAGAATGGGTTAACTAACCTGCCAATCCTTACAAATTAAAAGCTATTTGTATGCGTGCAATCCAAGGCATCTCAAATTCTGCATCTACTTTAGCTCTTAACATCTTTTGTCTTCTAGTCAGCAAATAATACTGACTTCTGCATCTGCCTCTTTCCTACCGACCTTCTTACTCAGTGTTAGCCGTAATTGCCTTAATCTAGTCATTTGCTTGGGGAGACTAAAATAGTAATCATGAGAGCATTCTTCTGACCAAGCTGCTACCTTCAAGAAACAAAACTACAGACTGCCCTTTAGTTCTCATTGAGATTGGAGGTGGGTGTTCTTACCCTGCCTGTTTGGCTTACAGATCAAAAACCTCTAAGTATAAGTTATAGATTTCATAGCTCTTGAGCAGAGTCCACTGAACTCATTTTATCTCTACCATATAATTAGCTTAAATCCATATTAACTGAAAAGAAAGTTGGCTTCTCGTTCTTGTTTTGTTTCCTTGAAGTCTGACCTTATACTTTGGGAATCACATAATAATCCTTTACAGGATCTGCTAGCTACTCCTGATAAACTTCTGCAAAACAAAACCAAAAAATAATGTGTGAGAATGGAAATGAGATGAAGTTTGATGAAAATGCCTGGGACTACCCTTGGCTTATATTAGCTCTAACTACAAGGATCTCTGTTTTAGATACGCTCTTGAGTTTTAAGTGCTGCAGAAAAGATCTCTGTTATTTAACCAGACTCTAGACATTGTTTATATTCCACTTGCTTATTGCAATTCTCACAATTCTTTATAGAACTCTGCTACTATATGCCGGAAAGTGTCCTGTCCTCTCATGCCTTGTTCCAATGCCACTGTGCCTGATGGGGAGTGCTGTCCCCGGTGCTGGCGTAAGTACTTAGTTCATTCGTGCTTCTGTAGCAGTTGGCCTCATCTAACTAGACACATGCTGCTCTAAAGTATCCCACAACCGGATATACAAGGATAACTTTGCACTGCTGAAGTACAGTTAGTCTGATACCTCTTTGAAGTTAATCACTTAGGTGGTGCACGTTCAATATTTTCTACAATGCGCAACATACTGAAATATTTGAGTTCATGGCTTTTATCTTGTCCAAGAAAGGAAGGTGCATGTGGCTTTTGAGGGCAGCTGTGACCTTTTTAATGGAGAGAGGTGTGGGAGAAAAGACTATGACAAAACATGTACATGGAGTCTTATTCAGAGCTGTATCCCTCTGCAGCTAGCGACTATGCCGATGATGGATGGTCTCCTTGGTCTGAATGGACCTCATGTTCTGTCACATGTGGCAACGGAATTCAGCAGAGAGGACGTTCCTGTGACAGTCTCAATAACCGCTGTGAAGGGTCTTCTGTGCAGACTCGGACTTGCCACCTTCAGGAGTGCGATAAGAGATGTAAGTACTCAATCTACTCATGCTGGTAATAAAACGTAGGCTGCTTTTACTGGCTTGATGTTAACAGCAAAGATTACCATGTAGTTCTGTTGCTGATGTGGATCGTTGGCTTCTAGCTTTAAGGACTTTTATTAATCAGGTCAAGGGGAGCACATAGTTTGTGCAGTAAACAGGCGTGTTTGGGCACTGTTCCCAGGACAAAATTTGACACCAGTTTAGGTATGAAATTTCTTTAGCAACAGAACTTGATCTGTGACTGTGCGGAGACTATCCGTTATACATGAAGTCTTTGGTGCAGTTCTGGTACTGGCTACATTCTAGGTGCTCTGCAGCTGAAGTCTTCAGAAACTATTAATAACAGACATCTCTCTCCTGTAGTTAAACAGGACGGTGGCTGGAGTCACTGGTCACCATGGTCATCATGTTCTGTCACTTGTGGCACGGGCATCATCACTAGAATTCGTCTCTGCAACTCTCCAGTACCACAGCTGAATGGCAAACCTTGTGAGGGTGAGGCAAGAGAAAACAAAGCTTGCCAGAAAGATCCTTGCCCAAGTAAGTATGTCATGGTGATAACTACTATTTGGTAGGTTAAATGGTGAACTTCCAGAGTAGTTGCTATATAACCTAGTTCTAGTATTCTTCTCTCTTTAAACTTAGAGGTGGGCTATGTAAAACCTCACAGGTTAGTTTCAGATGAAACTAAACTATTTTCTATGCCTCCTCCATGGAGCCCATTAATTCTGTCACTTATGTTGGAACAATGTCTGAAGTACTCTCACTACAAAAATAATAGTCCTAAGCAGGTAGAAACTAGTTGTAGCACTGAATTTAAAATCATACATGTCTTCTAACTTCTGTCTTCCTTTAGTTAATGGCAACTGGGGACCATGGTCTCCATGGGATGCTTGCACAGTGACATGTGGAGGAGGACTTCAAAAACGTAGCCGTCTCTGCAATAATCCTGAGCCTCAGTATGGTGGGAAGACTTGTGTAGGTGAAGCTAGAGGGACTCAGGTCTGCAACAAACAAGACTGTCCAATTGGTGAGTATCCGTTTTCCCATAAACATCTGAAGATCGTTGACAATCTTGAAAATATTGATTTAAAAATTTTATGTAAGTCTGTAAAACATAAGTGCTAGAATTTTAAACCAGGATATAAGCCAAATAGAGTACCATAGCAGCATGGTAAGAATCCCTCACTGTAACATTTTCTCATTTGTTTCACAGATGGGTGTCTGTCTAATCCCTGCTTTGCAGGGGCTACATGTACCAGCTCTCCTGATGGTTCCTGGAAGTGTGGTGCCTGTCCTGCTGGCTACCATGGTGATGGTGTTCACTGCCAAGATATTGATGAGGTAAGAAGAATATAGCTTGCTCCTTGAAAGGGAAGGAAGGAAGATGGAAAGGGAGAATAGAATCAGTGTTTTCTAATGCTAACTGTTGTTCTCCTCTATCTCAAACTCCTATTTCAGTGCAAAGAAGTTCCCGATGCCTGCTTTGTCTTCAACGGAGCGCACAGGTGTGAGAATACTGAACCTGGGTACAACTGTCTGCCTTGTCCACCACGTTTCACTGGAACACAGCCATTTGGTCGCAGTGTTGAGGATGCCATGACTAACAAACAGGTATTGTCAACTTGAGAACTGTTCTGGGTTATGAAATCTCACAAAGCTTCTAAAAAAAAAAAAGCCACAACAGAAAATAACTATGCTTTTTAGGCAAGAAAGACTTGATATGTCTAATAAAATACCATCTTCTGTGATTCAGAACAGAAGGAGCATTAAGCAGTTTCTATTGGAGTTCAAAATGAGTTTTAAATATAAATGCTTTCCCCAGCCATGGAGGGTTCAAATGTTATACACAATTTTAGTTGTAATTTAGGAGTAAATCAGTATTCCCTAATGATACAACAGTATGTGCCTCAAAGGTATCTTAGTGCTTGGTTCCATTTGAAAATACATAAGGTTTGAACAAGAGAAATAATTAGTGCCAAGAATGGTACTGGAGTTGGGGACTGGAAGAATGTCATGCATGAGGCTTTTTTCCTGATTGAAGGATAAGGATTTATTTGAATTTCTGGGGGGAAAAAATGAGGGATAAAATGATGTTTTTAGTGAGTTTAATTTCTGTATGGTCTTCTAGGTCTGCAAGCCACGTAAT